TTTGTTTTCCTAAGAATCTTTTTGAACATTTCGAGAGCACATGTTTGAACATTTAAAGTGCATATGAACATATATGTACGAAAGGTCGCCTCCGAGGGGATAAATCACCATGTCGAACATTTGTTCCTGCCTCTCGCGTTCTCTTCTCTTCCCGCTGTCCTACCTTTCGTGTCTCCCTCCTCTCAAGTATATATATACACATACATATAAAGTGTTTTGATAATATTTGAAGAGCAAAGTCTTCGGCACAAGGGCTTTCTTAAGATGAAGTTCTCCCAAAACCTTTTGGTAGAAACGATGACATCGCTCCCTTGATTGTCATTGTATAATAGTCATGCCGGTCGGCACCGATCGAGCCGACCGAACTCATCATTTTGCTAGACCTTCCAAAAAGTTAGACGCAGAAACCTGCAGTGTCCTTTTTGGACAATTCGAAGGGTCGATGCCAGGTACCATGCCTCCTTATCGGTTGGGGGGAATCCCTCTCTTACGCTCAACCAACAAATAACAGGGCCTGCCATGTGTTTGAATGCATCTTCCTGTCGGTGGCTTTTTGTTCTTAAATGTCCTGAGCGGTCGGAGGTTTGAAGTCATGGGCGTGGCCCAGCAGTGGCTTGGCGGGATTCGGAGAGGGTTTTTGCGGTCTCCGGGTGGCGCCCCGGTTTAAGGTGGTGGGCTTAGACGAAAACAGATGGCCAAGTCATCCAGGGGTGTTTCCTGGGTTTATACTTCTTGCAGACTCACATGCCAGTCTGCGAATGGGTCAAAGCTCAGCGTTCGGAGATGGTGGAGGTGAAACTTTCTTGGTTTGTCGCGGGGCGAGACCACAGGCAGTCTTTGCTTTATCGCTAATAGCAGGTATCTCATCATTGTTAGTTTATTATGTATACTATTAGGCTTTTGTCAAGTCGACATCCAGCCTGCAAAGTTAGACGTACGCTGAAGCCGTCCAGTGAGTAAGATCTGTCTCATTCAGCACACTGCCTCCGTGTTCGCCCACGCCTGCACCCGTCCTCGGCGCTGCTCCCACGCTGCTCCGAGGAAGGGCCGGGTGCGTTTGGAGATCACCGAGCTACCCGTGAAGCGATGGACCCAGGCGCCGGACCCGGGCGCAACCCGGAGCCACCAACCCACGCTGGGAAGCAAGGGCGCGATGCGGCGGAAGTTTGCATGGGAGGATGCAGGAGGGCGCGGACCTCTCCTCCTACGCACTTCCCTTGCTTTTTTTGGTGGGAATCCAGGATCCACCCTTTGTGAGAAGTAGAACTGATGTCATGGTGTGTCATTTGGTGGGGGAAGATGTACTGTACAAGACTGCATATTTACACATAATCCTGTTCTGGTCGTCCGCTAAACAGCTCTGCGAAAGATGCATCCACACCTCTACCCCACCTGTACCCCACTGTACCCCCTTTGCCGACCCCAACAAGAACACTGTGAACGACTGCAGAATGCAGTCGACCCAAAGGGCCCAAAAGACGCCCGCTCAGCGCAGCTGCAGACGTTCTTCGCGCGAACCATTTGTGCATGAATCGCGCGAACTGCCCCGCCGTGACTTCGACGACCTCCACCGGACCGTGGTGAGGACTACAAGGATTGGCTTGTGGAGCAACTGCCCAAGTCGGGGGAGAGGCGAGGATTTGGCCGCTCGGAACGGGGAGGCGGAACTGGGATCTTCTTGCTTGGCATACGAAGAGACCTGGACCCAAGGCTAGGAACAGGAAAGGGTATCAAGAAGCTAATTATGTTTGAACCCGGGGGGCAGTTGTTCAAAATTCAAAGTATCCATCTCTCAGTTCCTGCAGTGTGTAGTACTTAGTATCCAAGAAGAATCTGATTCTCCCTTCAAGTATATAGACGGATTCATCAAGCTCCCCCATAAGATGTAGAACCTCTCTGATCAGGGAGGTTTTACTATATAGTGTAATCAACTGTCTACATTACCTGATATATATTGAATCTCACGATGTTCTTTCATGCTTTGGGATGCTTCAGAGGCTCGACAGCTGAGCTGAGGTAGCTGGACAAAGTGAGTAGGATGTTTCCCTGCACTCCCGGACACCGTGGGACAGCGATCGACACAGTATTTACTTGTCCCGCAGGCGTGCCAGCATTGAAGAGCTGAGAGAATATCATTCCGAGGCTCCGGGGGCCCGGGGCAGCTGGAGATACATGGGGCGATCTTGCTGGAGATACATGGCATGCTTCTCCAGACATGGAGCGCGGATAGGTTGGTACTTTCCTTGCATGATACAAACATGGATCTCACAACATGGAGGTACCTCTGACCTGCAACCCTCAGGGCCATTTTGGAGCAAGGTGTCTGCCCTTGTGGTTCAGTGCAACCCGCATCAGTGCGACCAGAGATGCAGCGTTACGTTCACGATTAGCAAAGGTCCCTGCGTCAAGTCCTGACTTCTTTTTGTTTCTTTGACTGGAAACGACCTGCCCAAACGCGAAGTCTGGACCCGAATCCTTGTACGGAGGGGGTCTGGGGTTTCTCACCAATCCCCTAGCATGCAGGGGATAGAAGTGGATGTCATGGCCCCATTGGATGACCATGAAAAATTGATAAAAATTGAATACCAATCAGGCGGTGAACTCACTCCCTCCGCGCCACCATGCGATGTGTTCCGAGTGTTTCGCTCCAATGACCCAAGCCGCCTCATCATGTTGTCACGTGAGGACTGATTGAGAGTTATCAGCTTTTGTCAAACAAGTTCCCCTCATGTCATGGCAATCCCTGGTTCCATCCGAATTCTCACAGATGGTTGGTCCCGTCAGTCAACTTGAGTAACTGCATAGCTTTAGTTTTAAAGGATTATTTTTCTATCAACCATCAACCCGGTTGCTGTCTGCTAACTGAATCTCTCCCCGTCACCGTCACCGTGTCCTACCACCGCTTCTGTGGACCGCGGTCCTCAGAACTCGGTGCGCTTCGTGCTCTCCATGACGCCCGACAAGCTGTCCGAGGCCGCGCGCGGCGCGCGGTACGCTCGCTGCGCGGTACGCTCGGTGGACGTCTCGCACCGGTCGAAGACGGTGCGACTTTCCGAAGACGGCGCGCTCGTTGGTCACGGCGGTCGAACGGAAACCGTCTTCCGTGAGCACAGCGACGTTCGAACGGGCGACGAACTCAGACGTTCGAACCTCTCGGTTCTGCCGGATGAGAAACTTTCGGTCACCCTGTCGGTCTGCATCGAAACAAGGCGAAAACGCCACCACCGGTGGATGCGCGACGGGTGGGATGCGCCCCAGGGACGACCTCCGGACCGGACGGAGACCTTTCGTGTCTGTCTTTGTTGGGACGGAGAGGGCACGGCATGATTTCCCCCCCCCCCAGGGAGGGTTTGGCCTATTCTGTGGGCAGTGTGGATGTGGACAGCTCCAAGGAGCGTAGTGGGATGGTCGCTTCACCAAATCGGGGCGTGTTTGTGGGGCGAACGATGCAACGTCGTCATTGTGATGGTGAAATTTTGGAGTCGACTCAGCTCGCACTAGAAGTTCCAGTCTCTCCAGGGGCAAACCGCCAAATGTCTTACCATTGCTCAACCAAGTTTTCTTCAGCATTCCCACAGTTGACTTGAGGAATAAAACTTCTTTGAACAGCTTTTTCATGTTTTTCCATCCACTGCTACCAGTGGTTGAACAAAGCCAGTATGTATTTTCACTTCTTGGAGAAGACCTGCGCTTGCACAGTGGTTTCCCACTCTTCAGGCTGAACGGAGAGGCTTCGAGAAGACCTTCCACCTACGCTCCAGTGCGCACCTCCACGGGTTCTTTTTCCGACCGTCCTCGGATGGGTGGTGGTGACGGTGGCGCCTCCGGTGGCGGTGAGGGGTGTGGATTCGGGAGCTCCACAGAAGTCTGCCCACATGAACGCAGATGGCACTCGTGACGCTGGGAAACAGGACGAAATCGTGACGATGTCGGCAGGGAAGCCATCCAAAGATCTGGACAAAAACTATAATTATCATGTACATAATTAACATGTATATATATACATAATTAAATTAACATATATATATATATACATAATTATCATGAATCATATATATATATATATGTATTTATTAACCACAATATGTATATATATACACACCATATTGAATTTATCTACTGTCTACACTCTTGGCTCTTAACAAAGTTTTTGGAAGTTCTGATTGTGATCCTTGGGATGGACATGGGTTTTGGTCCTAGTTTTTCGGGTGAACTTGGGCATTTTACGTCAGGGATTGGAGGATATCCCTGCCCATTTTGGGGTGCTGGTTGGGCGCCGGAAATGCAATACGGACGATTTGCTGTCCCTTAGGTTTCCGTGAATCTCAGCAGCCAGGACTTTTGGCATCCTGCTGTCGTGCAAATTATCTTTTTTTTTTTTT